TTGTAGTATTCATAAAATGAAATACTCTACCATAATTAAAATGCTCATTTTAATGTTGCCATATGCAAAATCATGGCTATATCTCACAAGGATAATAAGCAAAAGAAAACAGAAACAAAAAAATATAATTTCAGGCGTATGAAATATGACAAGTTCATAAACAGGCAAATCTGTAATGTTAGAAGTTAATGTAGAGTTCACTTGACTTGTAAGGGCATAAAGGAAGCTCCTGAAGTGAAGATATGTTCTATTTCTTTCCCTTTTTTACTAAGAAATTCTGCTTTTATTATTAAAAGGAGTTGTTAAATTAACATTTCTTCAAGATTAAATATAAAACTTTGGGCTGGGTGCGGTGGCTCACGCCTATAATCCCAGCACTTTGGGAGGCCCAGGTGGGCGGATCAAGAGGTCAAGAAATTGAGACCATCCTGGCCCACATGGTGAAACACTGTTTCTACTAAAACCACGAAAAAATATTATTTGGGCATGGTGGTATGCAGCTGTAGTCCTAGCTACTTGGATGAGGTAGGAAAATCACTTGAACCCAGGAGGTGGAGGTTGCGGTGAGCTGAGATCGTGCCACTGCACTCCAGCCTTGTGACAGAGTGAGACTCCGTCTCAAACAAAACAAAAACAGCTTTAATTAAAATTTTCAAGGCAATAAAGTTAAATTCTAATGCCTGGTTGGTGCAGTGGCTCATGCCTGAAATCCCAGCACTTTGGGAGGCTGAGGTAGGTGGATGACATGAGGCCAGGAGTTCAAGACCAGCCTGGCCAACATGGTGAAAACTCATCTCTACTAAAAATATTGCAATTAGCCAGGTGTGATGGTGCCTGCCTGTAATCCCAGGTACTTGGTACACTGAGGCACGAGAATCACTTGAACCTGGGAGATGCAGGATGCAGTGAGCTGAGATTGCACCACTGCACTCCAGCCTGGGCGTCAGAGTGAGACTCTGTCTCAAAAAAAAAAAAAAAAAAAAAAAATTATAATGCCTTTGTGTAGTCAATGAAATGGACCTGAAAGAGGCATAGTGAATTTTAAAAAACGATGTACCCTTTAAAAAATGTTATCTTCCAAAAAATAAGTTAGCTGAGATGTTTCTTCATTATAAGAGTCAGAATGTTCTTTTCTTTTAAATGTCAACTTTTATTTTAGATCCAGGCGGTACATGTGCAGGTTACATGGGTATGTTGTGGAATGTTGAGGTTTGGGATATGAATGATCCCATCACCCAGGCAGTGAGCATAGTACACAGCAGTTAGTTTTTCAACCCTTCCCCCACCTCTCCCCCTTCCTCCAATAGTTCCCAGGGTTTGTTGTTGCTTTCTTTATGTCCATGAGTCCCCAGTGTTTAGCTTCCACTTATAAGTGAGAACATGTGGTATTTGGTTTTCTGTTTCTGCGTTAATTCACTTAGGATAATGGCCTCCAGCTGCATCTATGTTGCTGCAAGGCACATGATACTGTTTTTTTTTAAGGCTGTGACAAAATGCTTTTGAACAGTTTGTCAAATGTAATGTGCACACGTTTATTGATTTGAAAAAGCATTCAGCCAGGGGAGGTGGCTCAGGCCTATAATCCCAGCACTTTGGGAGGCCAAGGCAGTTGGATCAGCTGAGGTCAGGAGTTCAACTAACATGGAGAAACCCCGTCTGTACTAAAAAAAAAAAAAAAAAAAAAATACAAAATTAGCCGGGTGTGGTGGAACATGCCTGTAATCCCAGCTACTCGGGAGGCTGAGGCAGGAGAATCGCTTGAACCCAGGAGGCGGAGGTTGCAGTGAGCCGAACCACGCCATTGCATTCCAGCCTGGGCAACAAGAGTGAAACACCGCCTAAAAAAGCATTCATTTTATTCTATTTTATAGTGAAAACAGGAAATAAAAGAATTAATTGACAGGGTATTTGTGTGTGTGTGTGTGTGTGTGTGTGTGTGTGTGTGTGTGTGTGTGTCTAGCTGTATCACTACAAATACACACTCACAGATGCCACTTTATCTTTAATTCAGACAGGAGCTGGAACCAATCTTAGTTCCATATATGCCAGAACATGATTGGTACAGGGAGACTGCTACCATTAGGTGAATAATTCCGGAAAACTCTGGCTGATATATTTGTAGCTCACCTCCAACATCCCTATCCCTTTCCCTGAGCCCCTTGTCTGAGACTCTCAAAGCTGTGATCCGGGTTGTGGCCATCAGGAGGCATCACAGCTATCTCCATTTTTGTCGTTCTTTCTTTTTCTTTCTTTTTTCTTAAATAAAGGAGGACATTTTGCAAAGAGTGACAAACTATGATACTTGTTATGTTTGAAAAATATAATTGTATTAAAGCTGGTCCATTGCCTGTGGATTCCAAATCTACATCACATTCACTGATTTATCTCTTCCCTCCTCAGTATAGGTTGTCCCATGCATGCTGTAGAGAGGTCCCTCACAGAGAGCAGGACATTTAGCCTCCACTGCCCCTGTACAGGCTTCCTAGACCTCCTTCCTTTCAGTCATCTGTTCTTTAGGATACTATGGATACAGCTGCCCAGACACTGCTCTTGTGACCCCTATCCTCTCTGTCACCTTTCTACAGCCCTGTCAGTGCTACCTGGTGTTTCATGTCCTGGAGCATATGTTTTTACAGTCTTGTTTTACACCTATCAATTTTTTTCTTTCTAGCAAGGGAAGTGGATTTGGGTCTGCTCAGACGCATGATGTTGAACAGCTTTTATTAGATTATGAAACATCCAAGAATGTAGAGAACATTCTGTCTCTAAAACTTTGAACTCAAGGCATATCAGAGAGAGATTTGCTTTCTTTATATGGATGTCTGTGTTCTCATTAGGAGAAACAATGAAAAATGACTTTTCACAATGCCTCCCTTAGCCCAGAGGCTCAGCCAGCCCCCACTTCTGTGTCTCAGCATTTAAAGGGCCATTGAAATCCCACTTCATGCCATATACTCTCAACAGGTTTTCTCATTTGCTCCTTGGGACAGCGCTGTAAGGATGATACAGTCAGTTCTATTTCACAGATAATCAAGCTCAGGCTTTCAGAGCCTAAGTCACCTCTCCAGGTAAGTGGCAGGATGGGAATGAAGTTTCATGCCTCACCCTCCCTATAGGACCCTGAGTTACCCCTTTTTAGAAGATGGGCTTCCATGGCTTGAGAAATGGTCAGATTCCACTCCCCTGCTATTGTGGCCCCACAGGTCCTTACTCCACAACCCCTCTGGGTGATGAGGAAGACAAAGGAGGTGAAATCCTGCACTTTATGGCAAGAGACTGGGTGTAGGGCTGCATGAGTTGGCTGATCCCTTCAGCAGTGAGTGGGCTCAGGCAGAAGCTTAGGTGTTGGCCTTGGGACAGGTGAGCTGGAGAGAAGGAAAGTAACCTGCACTGAACTACTTTAAGCAAATGCACTCTATATTTCATTTCCTTCATCCTAGTGATATTCAGGGTACCAATGATTATGATCATTATTCCTATCAGGGTGCTGTCTTAAGGGGAGTTTGTGTAAATCAGGGAGACAACTTTGTTACCTCCTTATCGGCAGCTAACTCTGGAATTAATCTAAAGGTGTTTTTTTTTTTTTTTTTTCTCCATTTGCCCTGAAGCCCACGGAGAATTAGAAATGTTTTTCTTACCCTTTATTCACATGTTTGTTCTGTATTGATGAGTATTTAGAATGTTTCTCATTTTTTTCCTTTTTAAAAAGATCTCAGCAATGCTATTTCAGATAACTTCTTACCTGGCTATTTTGTACCGTGAACATTTTTCCCTCCGTTATATGCATAAACATCTATCCCTTGGGGCTTGATTTCAATAATTTAAACTCCCTTACATGTGTCTGAGCATTCTCATTTCTTTAACCAACTTTATACCTGTTGTAGTTAAAATATTTAAATGTATTTATAATGATAAGTATGTTTCCATTTCCTTGATGTATTTGGTCCCTCCTCCCACCCTCATACATACACACATGCACAGAGCCAGTTTTCACCTTTTTCTTTTGCAAATTAAAAAAAATTATGATTCAGTGTTTTCTACATTTAAATTTTGTCAGATGATAGGTGATAAGAGGATATTTAAATGGTTTCATTTGCATTCCTTAATGTGTTAGTGAGCTAGAATGTATTTTCTTGTGATTGTTGGCCATTTGCGTTTCTTCATCTGTGAACAATATATTTTGTCAGTTTTGTTATTTTGTTATAGGAGCTGTGCATGTGTAAAACCTAAAACCCTTCACTGATCAATGCATGTGTTATTTCAACACATCTTTGTTGGGTGAATATTATTTATGAGACACTCTAGCAAAATCCATGTCCTAGTGTCTTCTGAGATCTCAGCTCTTATATTTATGGGAAATGTCCACCTGCAGCAAGAAAAGTATCAGTGCCCACCCAAACATGTGTGGCTTGTCAAGGATCACATGCACAGACAGTTACACTTATTCCTAAACCCTGCGTGGCCACAGAGTAAAAAGGATGTGGGTGCATTATATGAGGAGAGCACCGGCTCAGGACTGTGATTTCTGTGATCTCTATACTAACAGCAAGATTTTAAAAAATTATGTAACACTTCTGAGTTTGCCTTTTCTCATTTGTAAAATGGAAACAATCATAGCTACCAAAGTCAATTGTTCTGAGAAGCAAAAGAACAAAATATTTTAAGCATCATACACAGCGTAGGGTACATACGGTACTCAACACATCTTAGTCCCCTTACTGTTCCATACCCGTCTTTCCTTTAAAGGAAATTCCTTTGACATAATCCAAAAGGCATAGTTCCATGATAACGATCATATGGAAATGTTAAGGGAATGTATAGGTTTTCATGATGAATTAACTGCTGTTTCACTACTCTGTGCTGGGTAAGAAAAAGTAAAACAATCGCTGAACCAGTTTCCTAGGGTTTGTAAAAGATAACCATCAAAGCCACCCCCTCATTTCACTTTATTTTGTAGACTTCTCCATCTCATTTTTTATGTTCTATGTTAATTTCTCAAGAAAACAGGCTCGGCACTGCCTCTGCGCAACCCCGTGGGCCTGGCTCAGGAGGGGGCCGGGGCCAGCACGATGAGCGCCCCAGGCAGCCCCGACCAGGCCTATGACTTCCTGCTCAAGTTCCTGCTGGTGGGTGACAGCGACGTGGGCAAGGGCGAGATCCTGGAGAGCCTGCAGGACGGTGCAGCCGAGTCCCCGTACAGCCATCTAGCGGGGATCGACTACAAGACCACCACCATCCTGCTGGACGGCCAGCGGGTGAAGCTGAAGCTCTGGGATACGTCGGGGCAGGGAAGATTTTGTACCATATTCCGCTCCTATTCTCGTGGTGCCCAAGGAGTGATCCTGGTGTACGACATTGCAAACCGCTGGTCTTTTGAGAGTATGGATCGATGGATTAAGAAGATTGATGAGCATGCCCCTGGTGTCCCTAAAATCCTGGTGGGGAATCGCCTACATCTGGCATTCAAGAGGCAGGTGCCCAGGGAGCAGGCCCAGGCCTACGCCGAGCGCCTGGGCGTGACCTTCTTTGAGGTCAGCCCCCTGTGCAATTTCAACATCATAGAGTCTTTCACGGAGCTGGCCAGGATCGTGCTGCTGCGGCACAGGATGAACTGGCTCGGGAGGCCGAGCAAGGTACTGAGCTTGCAAGACCTCTGCTGCCGAGCCATCGTGTCCTGCACGCCCGTGCACCTGGTGGACAAGCTCCCGCTCCCCATTGCCTTAAGAAGCCACCTCAAGTCCTTCTCCATGGCCAAGGGCCTGAATGCCAGGATGATGCAAGGCCTCTCCTACTCCCTTACCACCAGCTCCGCTCACAACAGGAGCAGCCTCTGCAAAGTGGAGATCGTCTGCCCACCCCAGAGCCCACCCAAACACTGCACCAGAAACAGCTGCAAAATTTCTTAAGGAAGGCGCCAAAAAAAAACAAGCTGGAATCTTTCCAGGAAAAACTCTGAATGTTTACACCTGGAAGATGGGAAGACACATTCTAGATTTGAGAAATACCTTTTCAGTTTCTCATGGGAACCATGCTGCTTGGCAATGTGTGTGATGCCTTCTGTCAATAACAGCACCTTACGCAGTTTGAATTTCTATGTGGATGTGCATGAAGCTCTTGTTTTAGATGTGTGTTTATAAAGGGAAAATTAGTACTCTGCTCAACTCTTGATAACATGAAATTTTCAATGTTACTTATAATCACACTGCAACTTTTTCCTTAAAATAACCATTTGTAAGAATGGTGATATGGCAATGATGAGTATAAATCCAAGGGAATTTGAGAAGCAATGATAGATAATTCAGAGTCGTCAATATTACAAGAGGGGCCTTTTTGTAAACCTGCTTTTTAATGTCAAAGCACGAATTTATAAAACACTGCAGATGCACATAGAGATTATATATAACAGATCTGTCCAGTTTGTGCATGAAATAGATTTGATAAAGTTTTTGCTATGTTATTTTACTACATTTAGGGATTAATAAGTGATTTATATGTATGTTTTTCTGTAAATCTATTTTTTTTTTTTGGTAAAAGATGTTCTACAAGATATGAAGCTAAGGAAAGAATATACCAAAGATATCTCTAGTTATGTTGAATGTAGGCAATGTGGTTTCAGTGGATCAGTAAGAAAAAAGCCATTTCAGTAAGGAATGAAATAAGTACTTATTTAAGAAAATGTTTCTTAACAATAAAAAAGTATGTATTTTTCTCTTCTGGTAAAATGAAGAGAAAAAGAATGAAAAATATGCATCATGTAACCCCACAAGATGACACTTTGCAGGAAAACAATGCAATACAACACGGTGGCGGGAGGGGCGCGGGGGGAGAAGGTGCAGGGCAGGCCCATTATAAGGCGTTAGGTGAGTCATTTCCCCTGTGCTGGCCAGTTTTGGTTCATACCTCTCAGATTGTTATAGAGGTTAATGAGATCGCATCTGGGAAAGCACTTCTGAGACCTTAGATGGGAAGGAAGGAAGGAGTGATTTCCATGTAATTACTTTTCAATTTACACTGTGGATTACTATAATAATCGATATTGGATGAACTGAGTAAATATAAGTCCTTGTACTCTTCTGTAATTGAGTGGCCATCTGTTTTTGCATTGTCGTGGGGTGGTTGTAACATAACATCCCACAGAAGGGCAAGATCTCTGGCCTCAGGGAGCCATGGGGACTCACCCTTCCTGAACACTGGTACTTTTCTATCTTATGAATTTCCCACAACATTCCTGGGAGGTAGAGGATATAATCTCTACACCATCCTGTAGCTGAGGAAACAGTGATGTTTGCAGGTTAAGGAACCTGGCTGGGGAGCATCCTGCCACTAAATGAAAAGGCAAAGACCAGCAGCCTATGTGCCCCCACACAGACTGACGCTGAGCTGCACATCACACCATAACCAAGAAAATCTTGCTTTCCTGCTGAGCAGTGTCACTACTGAAATCTGTATCTTCAGCTCTGAAGCCAGGCTGCCAGTTCTGGTCTCTTCTGAAAGACAGTCTTGTCAGACCTAAATTTCCTCCTCTGTAGACAAGGGAGCATCTAGGCCAGTGCTTTAGAAACTGGAGTCCCCAGACAGTTCTTGCATCAGGAAGAATATGCACTCTGAGAGGGACAAGGGTCATGCTGAGGATGAATACTTGAAGGAGCAGGCCCCAGACACATGCAGATCAGGGATGCATAGAGTCTTTAAAAGAAATTGCCAAATCACCTGGAAAGAGGTTGTACTAAATGGCATCCCCACCACCAGTATAAAACAGGGTAGACTTCCTGCATGCCCATCTCACTGGAATCCTGAATTGTTTCTTTTTATACTTTGATGATATTACGGGTGGAAATTCTTTCATTGTCATATTTAATTTGATGTTCAGATAACTTAAAAAAATTCCCTAGTATACAAAATGCTCTGATAATCATCATTGCATTATATTTTTATTGCAGAATGGTCCAGTTTGATATGTAGCATAAAAACAATGATCAACAGGTACATGAGCCTGCAGGCTCTCCTAGAGCTACTGCTGGCATTATGATTCCAAGATGTGTGTGTGGCTTCTGGGAGATCCTGATGGCAGTGTGTTTGCCTAGAAGATTAGGAACATCTCTCTGTAATACGAGTTGAATTCAATATTAGAGAGGAGCTGGAATCTTTCAAATGATGCACGAGCTGGACCACAACGTGCTTCTGAGCAGGCTGTAATCCTGTCCCCGTGATGGAAAGCAAGTCTTTCTGTGACCTTACCTGCTCAAGTCAGGGTGGATCCTTCCAGGACATAAGGTGTGGTAGTCGGCCTAAATTTGCTTCTGAACACTGAAGCTGAGTGCTCCCATCTTGCTGACATCAGTTGCAGAGGCTGGAGAAGCTGCATCTTCTCAGACACCAAAACCACGGGTTCAGTCACCTGTGTGAGGAGCTCTGTGCTAGAAGATAAAATACATCTGTCCATCCATCCATCCATTCCCATAGTTAACAGGCATTAAGGCCAAACTCTACACCATCCCTCTGGTTAAGTTTTAGGCTTCCTCAGAATTAGGAACAAGGGAGTAAGGGGGTTGTGGTGAACTCTGTTTATAGACTAAGAAGAAATCACTCCTTCTCCTTAATATTTCTATCCTAAGAGAGCCTCTTATTAATAATTTTAAAACATAATTTAAAACAGTGGACCCCTCTCTACATCCCTAGTTACTGTTCTCTTTACATATATTCTCCTATTGCAACCAAAATTCTGTGAAGAATTCTCAATATGCAACTCACATCCCTCTGCACCTTCCTTCACCTCAGTCCTCATTCCTCATCTAATGGTGCTTTGTTCCCGCACCCCTCCACTGAAATGAAAACCATCAAAACCAAAAGCCACCCCTTTGACCCATTTATAGATCAAGAGTGTTAAAATGAACATCTAAAGGGAGACAAAGATTCCCCTCAAAGACGAAATTCAATTGTTTTTGTATAGCAAAGATTACATTGCAATGCTCTATTTACCTAAAAGCTAGAGCTGTAAAATAGTTTCCATAGAGTCAGTCAGATAATGTGAAGGCTGTGCTACAGGAACCGTTCCATCAACTGAAGTACAAAATTTCCCCAACATATCCCATACTATTGCTTCAAATAAAAGGAATTTTGCAAACAGATTCACTGCATGTTGGCAATATTTTTATGATCATTTCAAAAAATTGTTTATTGTTTTATTTCTTTCTGAAGGAATTACTAAGTATGCAATGTAATCACCTGAAACTAAAATGTTGTTTCAAAATTTGTCATGATTAAATATATTACCTAAAAGCATTGTCTTATTCTCTAATATGCCATAATTAGGTAATATAATGGTGGTGAAATATAACAGGAGAGAGAGAGAGCAAACTCTCACAGTCTCCTGATTAGGTCAAAATTATTTTACTGTACCATACAAATCATAATGCTGGAATTCCTTTTGGAATGTTTCCATTCAGTAAACTATCTCACTATATGATAAGTGTACATGACTCCATACTGATATAAATAAGTGTTTAAATTGAAAAAGAAATGGGTCAGAGAAGACAAATTGTCACAATCAAATAATTCTAAACAATATATGTGGCTACCTGCAGTTCATGAGGTGAAGTTTAATTCTGTCCTCTACCTCCTAAGAACAGGGCTGACTTAGTGACTTACTGCTAAAGAAAAGAGTATAGGAATATAAAATAGCTGCCACACACTGAAGAAATTTGGCAAACAGTACCTTAACCAAGTGATGAAAGTTAACATCACCATTGATATCATATGGGTATCATGTAAACCCATATATGATGTGATAAAAAGGACAATTCATCTCTGTGGTATTCCTTCTGAAAACCCATAACCCCATTCTAATAAAGGAAAAAACACCAAGTTAAGCCTGTACTCCTCATGACATCAGGCTTATGAAAATAGTCTGGCCATTTTTCAAATGGTTAACAGGGAGTTACCATATGACACAGCAACTCCATCCCGAGGTACATAGCCAAAAGAAATATGCCACATAAAAACTTGTACCGGAATGTACAAAGGATCATCATTCAAAATAGCCAGAGTGGAAACCACCCAACTGCCCATCAATTGATACATGCATAAAATGTGGTATATTCAGCAATAAATATGAATAAAGTACTGATATATGCTGCAACACAGATTTTGAAAACATTGTGTAAAGTGAAAGAAGCCATATGCAAAACACCAAATATTGTTTGATTTCATTTACATACAATGACAAAAACAGGCAACTCCACAGAGAAACAAAGCATATCTGTGATTGCCCAGGGCTGGGGGTGGGCACAGGGATTAACTGCATTCAAGCAAGATGGGTAATCTTAGGGTGATGAAAACATCTAACACTCAGTTATGAAGTTCTACCTACAGCAATCAGACAAGGGAATGAAATAAAGGGCATCCAAATTGGAAAACAAGAAGTCAAATTATCCTTGTTTGCAGATGACATGATCTTATATTTGGAAAAACCTAGACTCCATCAAAAAATGATTAGAACTCATAAACAAATTCAGTAAAGTTGCAGGATACAAATTCAACCTACAAAAATCAGTATCATTTCTATATGGCAGCCAAAGTGAACAATCTAAAAAATAAATTAAAACCTAATCCCATTTACAATAGCCATAAATAAAATCAAATACACAGGAATTAACCAAAGAAGGGAAAGATCTCTATAATGAAAACTATAAAACACTGATGACAGAAATTGAGGATGACACCAGAAAATGGAAAAGTATTTCATGTTCATTGATTGGAAGAATCAATATTGTTAAAATGTCCATTCTACTCAAAGCAATTACAGATTTGATGCTATCCCTACCAAAATACCAATGACATCCCTATCAAAATACCACAGAAACAGAAAAGACAATCCTAAAATTCATGTAGAATCACAAAAGACCCAGAATAGCCAAAGCTATCCTAAGCAAAAAGAACAAAACTGGAAAAATCACAATACCTGACTTCAAATTATAAGTGGTGTTGGGATAACTGGAAATCCATATGGAGAAGAATGAAAATAGACCCCCTATTTCTTGCCATATTATAAAATTAAATCAATATTGGTTAAAGGCTTAAATCTA